AGATGTGTATAAGAGAAATGTTTTAAATAATGTTAAGTTACTATAATATATTGTTTTTAATATATTTATTATTTTTCTAATATTATAATATATATATATTGTATATATATATATAATATATATTATATATTATATATTATATATTTATTATATATATATATATATGTATATAACAGCTTAGATCTATCCATATATATACAAGTCCAGCTGCAGGCCGATTTAAGAGTCCCCACTTGCTAGACATTTTATTAACTGAACTGTAAAATGTAGTAGTAGAGCATAGGCCTAAGCCTAGACCTGATCATAGGTAACCATCACAAGTTCTAGGCCTAGTTCTAGCAACTTATACATAAAAAATTCTATAGAACTTTATAGGCCTTCTATAGAGACTAATCAATTTCTAAAGAAATTAGTATTTTCTATAAAATTGTTTTATAGAGGAACTAGTTTCTATAGAATTCTATAACATACTATATAAATATTTTAAATGTAATTTCTATGTTTTTAATTTTTTTTGTTTCATTCAATATTGTATTGACACATTCGTGTCTGACCAGTATAGTCCTACCAACATGTTTTACATCTTGCATATTCTATAGAAATTCTATAGAAGATTCTATACAAATGATTTGACAAGTTCTCTATAATAAAACTATAACATTTCTATATTTATTCTATAAAAAATTATAGTCCTTACCTGTATTTTTTAAAATGTATTATAACAATTTTATAGGGATTATCTATATAGGAACATATAAAATCTATATAGAGTATAACATATATGAAATTTCAATATAAATTTATTTATTTATAGTATATTCTGTAGAACTGTATAATATTCTAAACACAGTCATTTTAAAAATTGTAACTTTTAATAGTCTATAGAAAATATATATAAAATATATATAAAAACTCTATGGAAACATAATATAATCTGTAAAATTGTTTCTCTATAGAAAGTATATATAAAATGAATACGAACGCTATAATGGAAGTGTTTATCTGTAAATGAAATATTAAAAATTATTTTAAAAATTATATCTATAAAAAAAAAATTATGTATTAATGTATATATAAAATCTGTTCAAACTCTATGAAAAATTTCTGGAACCGCTAATACGTAGCCTTATGGGAACTTTATGGGGTTCTGCCCCTAAACATCCCTCACATATTCACCTAACAACAATGCTTTATAGGTGACAGCAAAATGTTATCAACAGCCTAACCTCTTTACTGTGATAGCCCACCTAACAACCAATTAATGTTAGTGTCGAATTGCACAAATCTGATTGGTCACTTCATCAAGTGACCAATCAGCTGATTTGAAATTTCACTTCATGTAGAGCCAACGGAAGCGGTAGTATTTTGAATTTTTCTCTGGACTTGTCATTATGTTAGGCAGTTATAAACGTACTATTTGGAAGTATTTTAGCAGTACTGTATTCACTATCAAGTGGTAAGAGTTGGTTTTGTTTTATTATTTAGTTAGTTTACCACTCTAGAAGAAACGCTAGCCTCCTCCTAGCTGGCCTAGTAGTAGTGGTAGATGAAGAGGCCTGGCCTAGCCTAAGGCTTAGGCCTAGCTGTAACGGTAATACTAGCCTAGCCGCTGTACAGAGACAGGACAGAACTGAGGTTCTCTCTAGGCCATTGAAGATATAGGGCAAGGCCTAGAACCTGGGCCTTTTGTTGGCCTAGCCAAGCTGTAAGTTAATTGCCCTATAGTGTAGCATGCCATAAGAAGAGTGGTAAATTGAATTTGGGACGTGTCCTCACTAATGTCGATGATGCTTTAATAAAATAATGGGTTTAGGGTTAACTGGGGAGGGGGTGGTGTAAAGAATTGTATCATTATTTGCAGAAAGTTAATGTATTAAATCTCTAGGCCTATACTAACATAAGTGGTGATTTTATTTCAGGATACTCAAGTCTCAGTTACTATTGTAATTAAGTGAAAACTCAATCCGGTCAACTCAATCTTGTAGTTGAAAGCATTAATATTTGTTTAAAGACGTATCTGTGAAGGAACAGAAAATTACCTGACATTCTATAGTGCTTTAATAAAATAATCGGTTTACGGTTAACCGGGGGATTGTATCATAATTTGGAGAAAGTTAATGTAATCAAAAGGCCTATACTAACAACATGAGTCGAATGGCCGAGCGGTTAGCAGGGGCGCCGCAAGCTATAGCCATAATATCGGCGCTGGTTCGAACGGCACGCTCACCTATGGTTCTGGTGGTAGAACAAGTCTTCTCGGATAAGGACTATAAA